TAATCTGTCTATAGGATGTTTCTATCGATGTATATATTTTTAAATTGTCTTATTTATAAGTGTCTTCATTGTTAGTATAAAAAGTCAGGAAATGGTCACCATGTTAGAATGTAGAATTTGGGGGAACAAGAATCTCCATTTTGGGGGCTTTGGTCACTCATGTTTGGCGCCAGAATAAATCATATCTTCTTCCCTTCTGTGTGAGAGCTGTGCTTTTTTGTGTTCATAGTACACTTCTACTGAGGGAGACAAGGTCCTGAGAGAGGAGTCGTATGCTTATAAAGCCATCATGGTAAATAAAGCTGTTTGTCTCCCAGCCTTTCTAGCAGCTAGAGATGGCCAGATGACCTAGGTCTAATGTCCTCTCTTACCCTAGAGGCAATAATTCTCATTTCTGTAAACATTCAACAAACATTTACACGTTGGGGCCAGGGAGATGGTTTAAGGGATAAAAAAAAAAAAAAAAAAAGTCTGTTTAGCACAGGTATGATCTTTCTCCTAGAAACTTTCAGGTTACACTCTTTTCCACCTCATCCTCTTTTCTCCTTCCACACATGTGCCAAGCCTGATGTCCTGAGTTTGATCCCCAGAACCCACATGATTTAAGGGGAAAACCTACCCCTGTAAGTTGTCCTCTGACTCCCACAGGTATGCCTGACACACACATGAACACCAAGCAACGTAAAAGTTGGCTTGTATTCTAGATAATGTGGAAGGAGGGTAGGTATGCCAGGTAGACACTGTGCCTCTTTCTTTTACTTTCAAGCTATTGAACAATGGATTCCAAAGAATTAAAGTGTCCCTAGGAATTCCACACCAGCTAGAGGAAAAGTTGAACCCTTGGTGCCCGACAGAGGAGGAACTTGTCTCCCAGGCAGACACGACACACAGCCCTGAAAACTTAATAACGTGTACTTATTCTTGGCCTTTGTCTCATTTCTATAAAACTGTAAGCCTGCTACAGAAAGAGAGAAACCAGGAGTCTGTTTCTCCCTTGTTTGTCCAAACTGTAAATAAACCCGTTTCCATTTATCAAATTGCTTTCTAATTTCTTTTAAGATGCAAAGGTGTTATGGTTGTAAGTGGCCTCTTGTAACCTCAGGGCCGCAGGCATGAAGGAAGCAGACCTACCCTCTGTCTGTGAGGAGCCAGTTTCATGAAATCACAGCTCGGTGGGTCTTTATCTTTGTTGCCTGTATTTGAAAACAAGCAAGGATACATCACTAGCTGGAAAAAAAAACAAAAAACCTTAGCTGAATCCTCAGATTCCCCTCTTAATTCACTCATTTCCAGAGAACCTTGGTGAATTATCTTGTCCTGTTGTCTGGTGATCAAATAAGACTGAGCCACACCAAGCATGCATCATTGGAATTCTTATATTTCCCTTCTAGTTATGCTCTAAATGTTAAAGGAACACTACTGCTTCTTTAAACTGGTACATCTAAACTTGGTCCGGTAGCTACGTAGTACACTGAAGAAGTTTCTTTTTTTTCTGTGAATTTAAAATAGGGCATAGCTCTGTGAAGCATGGTTTAGGGACTTTTAGTCTCCAGCTTCAATTCTTCTAAACAGCAGTACCCATGGGACGTAACTTCTGACTTCACATCTGTAAATTATTAAGGTTTACTTTTATATTTTTTGTTTTTATATTTTTATTTTTTATTAATTACAGTTTATTCACTTTGCATCCCAGCTGTAGCCCCCTCCCCTGCATGCCTCTTCCCCAGTCCACTGATAGGGGAGGTCTTCCTCCCCTTCTATCTGAATCTTGTCTATCAGGTCTCATCAGGGCTGGCTGTGTTGTCTTCCTCTGTGGCCTGGTGAGGAGGTGATCAAAGAGCCAGCCACTGAGTTCATGTCAGAGACAGCCCCTGTTCCCATTACTAGGAAACTCACTTGGACACTGAGCTGCCATGGGCTATATCTGTGCAGGGGTTCTAGGTTATCTCCATGCATGGTCCTTATTTGAAATATCAGTGTCAGAAAAGACCCTTGTGCCCAGATTTTTGGTTATGTTGCTCTCCTTGTGGAGCTCCTGTACCCTCCAGGTCTTTCCATCTCTCACTTCTTTCCTAAGACTCCCTGCCTTCTGCCCAAAGTTTGGCTGTGAGCCTCAGCATCTGCTTTGACACCCTTGCTTTTATTTTTAATTGCATGTATACAAATGTTAGTTCACATGAGCACAGACAGGTGAGAGGCATTAGATCCATCTCGAACTGAAACTCAGAGCTGTTTGAAAGCTGCGTGACCGGGGTGCTAGCCATCAGACCAGGTTCTCTGCAAGAGCAGTACATGCTCTCAACTGCTGAGCCATCTCTCCAGCTCACATTTGGAAATTTATAATTCTTCAGATTTTTTCCCCCTTTAATGCTGTAAAACTTCCCAATGATGCTTAAATTTTGTTTCAAACTTAATTCTACTGAAGCCTGTTGAGTGCTAAGATTATAGGTGTGTACCACCACACCTGGCAAATCTTGTCTTCAAAAATTCAGTTCCAGGCTCTCTCGTGATCATGGGGATGCACTCAGCCTGGTCTACATAGTAAGAACCTGTCTCAAAAACAAACAAAGCAGAGGCTGGAGAAATGGCTCAATGGTCAAGAGCACTTCCTGCTCATGTAGAGGTCTGATGATGGCTGAATTGCCCTCAGCTCTAGCTCCAGGGGATTTGGCAACATCTTCTAGCTTCTGGGACATTTCAGACATGTGGGGCATTCCAGATGAGAAGACACATACACACTACCCGCCCCCCTCCCAAAAAAAATTCAGTTTATGAATCAGTGTTCCCTGAAAAAGTGCTAATATTGAAGATTCTGCAGAATGATTGACACCTTCTGACTGTGAAGGGTTGTAATGAGGGCTCAGAGCCAGACTTATACCTTGGACTTCAGTCCTTTTGTAGAAACTTATCACCCACCTCCGTGGCTGACCTAGCTTTTCTTCTGATTGCTAGATAAGACCTTTGGATGACACAACATGCTGCTAGCTTTCACCAACTCACATGCTAAGAATGGCGTCAGATAGCTTCTGAAACAGTTTCTCCATCAGGTAGTATTAAAAACTTATGAACTTATGCATGAACTTATGCTTACTTCTTGTCCTATGACTATAAAAGGGCAGATAAGCACTTCTATGGCAGGACATGCCATTCCATAAATCCATATCTCTGGGCCATCGTCGCTCATATTTGGTTCACAATAAATTATTTCTTATTCCCTTTGAAGTAAGAGCTAGGTATTGCATTAACAACTTCTGTAAGTTGTTGGATTTTTTTTAAACAGTGTTTTTAATCTGTAGTCAATGTTATCCAGGAATTTACCATGTTACCCAGTTTGTCCTCTTAAGCTCGTGATGATCCTGCCTCAGCCTCCTGAGTCCTGGGATTACCACCATGCTTGGCCATAACGTGCCCTCCCCCTCCCGCCCCCGAAAGTGCTAGGCACTGTGTGCTAGATTCTGGGAAGGAGACAACAGCTGCCTGAAAGAGTAAGCATTCAGGATGGTCAGGATTAGGAGGAAGGGTGGAGGAGAACTTCAACCCTGGAGGCCTCAAATGAGGACAGCAGGAGTTGGCTCCCTCCCCAGTCTCAACCTGACACCGTAAAGTTGGCTACCCCACCACCTATTTCTAACAGGATCTCAAGGGCAGGCTGTTTGACCCCCTCCCCCCCCAGGGGAGGAGCAGTCTGTTAGGCCACAGAGGAGGACTTTGCAGCCAGCCCTGAAGATACCTGATAAAACAGGGTCAGATGAAAGGGGAGGAGGTCCTCCCCTATCAGTGGACTTGGAAAGGGGCAGGGAGGAGACCAGGGAGGGAGTGTGGGGTTGGGGAGGGAATGAGGGAGCGGGATACAGCTGGGACACAGAGTTAACAAAATGTAACTAAAAAGAAAAAAAAAAAAAAAAGAATTTATTACCTTGACAGGTAACAGGCTTCATTCCTTGTTTGACCTTATAAGATGTGTGTCCCCCCATCCCCCTAATCCTACAGCTCCTAAGTATGGAGACCAAGTATCTTCCAACACCCCTGTCCCAGCCAGTTGTAAATAGCCACATAAAGCTTGCCCTAGAGACCCTAGCCACCTCCCCAAGAGCATAAATACCCCGGCCCTCCAATAAATGAACCAGCTCTCTGAGGCTGTCCCTGGGTGTGTGTCATTTCTAGTGTACTCACTGCACCGGGCCAAGCTTCCACACCTCCAGACCTGCCTGGTGAGCAACTGCCTGGTGAGCAATGGCCTGGCTACCCCAAGGGGAGAAGTGGATACAGGGCAGCAGTCAAGAATTTTCCTTTTTGTCAAGGCTGCAAAAGCAATTTCCAAGGAGGGTGAACAGCATATGTCGAAGGATGTGAGAAACAGCATGGTATTCCAAGAGCCTCCAGGCAATTTGGTGCCCTCAGAGTGTAAGTGGGAGAGCTGGGGAATTGTGGGTGAGAAGTTTAAAGACAGGTGAGGACCAAGTGCCAAGAAGGGGAATGTCATGTACCATCTGAGCAACCCTGGAATTGACCTGCTGAAACACGGTCTACACTGTTGTTCAGGCTTTTCTGGAACACTGGGTAGCCCAAGATGGCTCTGCTCTCATGGCCCTCTTCCTGTCTCACTATTCCACATGCTGGAATTACAAGTGTGAGCCACCATGACTAGCTTTAAATATATTTTTTTTTTATTGTTTCTGTGTGTGCCATGGTGTGCATGTGTAGGTCAGAGAGACAACTTTGCAAGAGGCAGGTTTCTCCATCCAGCATTCTCAGGCCTGCACAGAGCTTATCCTGAGCCATCTCATGGGGTCAGTCTCTGCCTGTCTCTCCTCTTTCTTGCTGACCTGACACTCTATTTCTGTGTTTCAGTTTCCTGAGTGTTGAGGTTATAGCCTCCATCAGCATCTCTAGCTGGACATGAATTTTGCTAGCAGGAGTGAGAAAAAAAAAAAAAAAAAAACAATGGAGAAAGAGATTGAAATTGAGTAACACTAGGAATAAGGGAATGATCAAGGGGCTGAAGACAGACTGGATCGATTTATTGGAGAGGAAATTCATCAATGGTAAGACTTGCTCAGATACACAGATACACAGATCGAAAAAGACAAAACCCAGAACGCCTACCGTTTTTGCATCTATTATTTTGTACAGCTTAATCCTACACACATAAAAGTGCTCAGAAATAGTCCACTAATAAGCAAGTCTCTGTAGCATCATCTTTCCTTGATTTCACTTTATTTCCAATTTAAAATTCCTTTTAGAGAGCCTGAATCTTGAGAACTTTTATTCAATCTCCTGGCATATTTCTAGTTTTAACATTTTCAAGTTATTTGCAAGCAGAAAACTGAAAGCTGTTTTTCAACCACACATTTACGCACTAAGTCAGTTGTTAGTACACACTTTAAAGGATGTTGGAGAAGAATGTGTCATGACTACAAGGACAGAAGGCTAGGTGCCTTAACCACACACAGGCACAAGGTTCCTTTCTTTGTGGATCACAAAGAGCAAGAGCACAACTCTTCTTGGTATTTCAAGTCATCTTGTAAGAGTGTACATCCTCATAAGCACAGGTACTTTTCTTGGGAAAATTTTTTTTTTCTTTAGGCTGCTGAAAGCAGCTCAGCCTGCTTCTACATTCTCAAGGAAGTTGAATGACACATACAGTCAAAATTACTTGTTTCTATAGTTGAACTCTGGAATTATACAGCAAGGGTTGAATTCTTCCGCTGATATGACGGCAATTCTTTAAAGCTATCTTAAGGACTGAAAAGTAAACAATCAAATGTATTTTGAAGAGATCATTTTTTTTCCCCCACATGTAGCAGCAGAGTTGGGCTTGGGTCCCAGAGAGACACTCCTGAGGTCCCAAGATCGTATCCCTCCATGCTCTCTCCAGCCCACACCAGGATAACTGTACCCTTATGGGGCTAAAGAGGCAACTGGCTGCTGCCTAGTCTCCTTAACAAGTACTCTACCCCTGACGGTACCACCATGAAGAGATCATTTTAAATGATCAAAAATTGGGAACTTTATCCTATGTGTATGTGATACACATGATATCTTAAGAGTCTGAAGCTACCTGTTGTTGTTTTTGTTTTTGTTTTTTTTGTTTATTTTTTGAGACAGGCTTTTTCAGTGTAGCCTTGTCTGTCCTGGACTCACTTTGTAGATCAGGCTGGCCTTGATATCACAGAGATCTGCCTGCCTCTGCCTCCCCGAGTGCTGGAATTACAGGCATGTGCCACCACAGTGCTGGCTCATTCACATATATGTATATATATATATTAAATGACCATCAAGAGGATGTTATTTCATGATATGTGATGATGACCTGAAATTCAAATATTAGTGATTATAAACAAAGTTTTACTGGGGCACAGCTTGTTAATTTTGGACTGGTTCCACACATGTTTCCACGGCAGGTCTGAGCAGTCCTGACAGGGTCTTTTTAGCTCAGAAAGCCTGAAAAGAAACCTGAGTGTTGGCAGAGGCGATTGAGTGGTCTGTGTTCTAAGGGCTTTTCTCTGAAGAAACACAAGCATAGTGATCTCCCATAATCAGGCGTTGTTATCTACACTCACGCACGTTATCATACTGTGTAGGATAACTGTCATGGAATAAAATAAGGGACATAGTTTTCTTATATTTAGGATGGTTGTTTTGACACTGTCAGTGGAGAACGGTTACTAAAATGCTTTCAAGTCATTCTTATTTCTTGAACCTTAATGAGCTGTCTGCAATCTTGAGCTAGTGGCTTAGCCTTTTGGAAGCCTCAGAGCTCCTATAAAAACAGGAGTGAGGGCTGGAGAGATGGCTCAGAGGTTAAGAGCGCTGGCTGCTCTTCCAAGGGTCCTAAGTTCAATCCCCAGCAACCACATGATGCCTCATAACCATCGATAGTAAGATCCAGTATGCAGGTAGGATGCTGTATAAACACTAAATAAGCCTTTAAAAAACAAACAACCAGAGGTGCGCTGCATCATCCGGTAGAGTTGTTACATAGGAAGGATGTGAGATACATTAATCGCCTGGTGTGCGGCAGGTGTGCAACTCACTTTATTATGACTGCCATCATCTGATGGTGTCACTCTCACTTTTTGGTGTTTCACACGTAGCACTGCCAATGACAAGGAGCTTCACGATGACAAACGCTTGTGTCATTTTGCACTCGGGGCCCTCCCTGTGAATTACCATCTGCAGAAAAAGTGCCACAGCTGTGTAATCTAAGAACACTCTTGACCAGAGTGGAAAAGAGTTTATGAAGCCCAGAAACAAAACAAAACAAAACAAAACAAAACAAAACAAAACAAACCATAGGACTGAAGAGAGCTGGACAGCTGTTTGCAGCTTGATTGCAGCTTGATTGCAGCCTGTGAACAGCATGATGGGAATTTTTTAAAATTTAGGCTATACACCCGCCTTTTCTTATGGAGAGCCAAACTCGTTTGATGATTCATTGATGAATGCTTTGCTCTGTAGTTAAAGTATTATTATTATTATTATTATTATTATTATTATTATTATTATTATTAAGAGCATATGGAATTTTTGTCTTTTGTGTTAGCTTATTATTACAATGTTTCTTTTATTCTTTCCTACCGAAAAAGCTTTTAGAAAATCACAAGGGTGAGACTCTTGGAAACAGTTTCCTTCCTTGTGGACTTGGCGCTGCCTGCTCTCCACCTAAGCTTTCTCTGCCCTTGGAGTGTTAGGGTTCTGGGTTTCTGCAGAGGAGCGCAAGGTCTGTAAGCTATGAGCCTACTAATTATTCATTTAAGAAGGGGGTTGAGCGGTCACAGGAGAGATGGTCTTTTCCGCTCCCCAGGGGCTGAAAGAAACTGCAAGCCCCCTTTCTTTGTCTTTACAGATTTTTGTTTGTTTGTTTAAAACACAATTGAAAGGGAACAGACCTGCCACCCCAGCCCCAGCAACTCTCAGAATTCCTGAAGGTAGCTGGGGGCCTCCAAGTACCGCTTGAGAGCAGAACCCCTACAGGTCCTCTGCCCCATCCACTCTGAAAAATCATGTAAAAGTCTTCAACAGATCTCTCCTCTTTTTTAAGGTCTTGACATACCCTCAAGGAAAATTCCTTTGAAGTCTCCCCTTGCAAGATTTGTTCATTGCACTCGGCTAGTCAAAAGCAGCACAGCAGACTCCAGGGTTCCTCCACATTCAGGTTGGACGCAAGGTTAGGACAAAGCACAAAACACTCGAACCTCAGCCAATGAGTTAGTAGCTCCCAGAAGGGCTGACAGCCACAGGGACCAGGAAAGGGGTGGGGGATGGAGGAGCTCTGTTTACTGATAGTAGCTCTCATCATCATACTCCAGCTCATCATCTTCCGTCTCATCCAGCAGCCCATACTTGAACTTCCGGTAGACAGTGCCATCTTGGCCCATGTAGACAATGTCATCCTCATCATCTTCATCATAGTCCCGGTCCCTGTACTCAATCACCTGGTCCTCGTCGAGATAACTGCTCCTGTAGGAGGAGTATGACACAGTGGGTTCTGCCAGCTTTTCGTAGCGCCCCTTTGCCTCAGGTCGGCTTCTGGACTTCCTCCACACAACCACAGCGGCCCCCAGCAGCAGCAGCAGCATGGCTCCTGAGGTCACCAGCAGGGCAGTCTTGGTGCGCTCCGAGGACACAGCCTCGCTGACTGGAAGGATGCATTCCTCCGGTGGAAGGCCTTCCGTCCCAGAGGCAGCAGTAAGGGGGAAACAGAGAAACAATTGGGAAAATCAGAATGCGGAGTAAAGAGCCGCCACTCCAGGTTTTACATCTAAAATGGCAGAATCACTGCTTTTTCGTTTTCGTAGGCAGCGCACTGCACTCTACAATAACTCATTATGTACCCCAGCGCAGACTCACTCCATGTCTGATAAAACCACCCGATGATCCTCACATGGTAACTCTGAAATCCAGAGGGACCCCTGATCCTACATCTCCTGGCCCAGTTTCTAAAGGTCCAACTTCTCAGTGATTCTTCAATTCCTGAGAAATTCTTTGTTTTTCCTTTAGCTACCGCTAAACCAGGACTCTGATTTTTTTTTTTCCTAAAATGGAGTTGTCTCCCCAACTATCTTTCAGACTGGTCCAGCATGACTCTCCCACCCTTCAAGAACAGGAAAGCATACTATATAAAGCCCACTGACTCTTAGTCATGTATGGAAATTATTTGGGCCAACTTGTTTGTCATAGCCAAGAACTGGTTTGTAAAACAACTGGATTTTCCAATCCATTAACTTCAACTCCAGGTGGATTCCCGGGACAAATTCTCTGACCACTGTGTTTGGTTTCCTTGGATATTCTTGGCACTCTTTGAGTACCAACAACCATTTTAAATGACAAGGGATTTATAGCATAATTGAAATTATTGAATTCTGGAGCCCTGCCCTTTCTTATTCATAAGCCTCTGTTTTCAGGGTTTCACTGAGAACACTAGGGGTGAGGGAGGATTGGGGACAGGAGAACAAAAGAACACCATAGAAAGAAGGGTTAAGCATAACTTGAGCATTTAGCTGATTTTTCTTGTTTTTACATTCAAACAGTATGACTTGAGTAGCTTGTCTAATTTTATTACCTTTTCTTTTTAATCCACCATACAGTAAGGCAAAGAAAGTTTGAGACAACTGGAGGAACAGCTATCTGCCCAGATGGACTTACAAATTTTAATTCACAGTAGGCTCTTTGTCCCATCCCCTTCCCCACTCTCCTTTCATGTTCTCTACCTCTCCACCAAGGACCTTGCAAGCATTCTTGCAACTGAGTAACCCCAGTGACTGACTCCTGCACCCCCTCCAAGCTGGTGCTTACTGGGATTTCTATTTTATTCTAACAGGATTTTCCCATTGAGCAAAAATGTTTCCTCTAAAATAATAGTATTATCATTATTTTGTTCAACATTACCAGTGTCAGCACAGACTTTTTCCCTGGAGGAAATACAAACACACTAGAGGGATAAATAAGTAATCTGTCCATGACACCTAGTTTTTGAGGCAGGGGAATCTATATTGGACCTTTGGAGGTTGTTTTCTTTTCATTGTGCCAACTCACATCTTAGTATTCTTGGTCTTAGGCTGCTGGGTCAAGGTCAGCCTCTATCATCATTTGGTTTCTTTGTAGTAGGAAGCTGTCTTGGTGACAAACCTTGAATATCTGGGCTCTTTATTTCTCCCCATACCCATCCTATGCTAACTTTCTATCACGAACTTCATCCTTAGCCCAAGAGGATTTGTATGTTTGTTTTTGTTTTATCTATCTATCTATCTATCTATCTATCTATCTATCTATCTATCTATCTATCTATCTATCTATCT